GTCGCCGACGGCGAGTTTCCCGACGACGATGACGTCGGAATCTACGACGGCTTCGTCATCACCGGCAGCTGCAGCGACGCAGACGCTAATGACGCTTGGATCTGTGACCTCCTCCTCCTCTTGAAGAAATTGAATGCCTTGAACAAGAAAGTCCTCGGAATTTGCTTCGGTCATCAGGTCAGTAATTTCTCATATTTATTTAGTCCCTAAATTTTAATATAATTTTATTTTTTTATTTTCTAGAAAATAATATCTTAACGAGCTAAATTAAGTTAGTTGAGTTTTAGTTTTAACCTATGCTTTTATCTTATAAAAAGAGAAGGCAAATAAAAGGTCATAGAAATGGGAATGGGATTTTATAGGTTCGCTTTGAAGTTTTCGCAAAATTATCATTTATGGTTTTAATGGAAGAGTTATTAGAAGTAATTATATAAAATGGGAAATTCGATGGGGTAATTAGTGTTTTTTGTTTTTCTCGGGAAACATACGGAAAATGGAGTTGGGGAAGAAGAAAATTGTTTTTAGCATCTATTTCTTGTTTTAGAGAAGTGCAAAAAAGTTTTTTTCTTTTTTTTTTTCAATTGTCAATTCTTTTTATTACAATACACCGATATTGTGATGGTGGAGATTTAAATTCAATGAAGATAAATATATTAATTAAATAGGTTAAATTCAAGTTGTCAAACTTTTATTGGTCCGATGACATTTCTTAGTGTACGACAAGAGATCTGGTGGGAGAAAATTGTGTGCGTGTGTGTGTATATATTATTTTTTTATTTATTCGAGGAAAGTCGCTAAGCTGAAAATGGACTGTGGTGTTTGTTTTGTTGAGTACACTGTATAGTACAAGCGCAGTCACAGTGCTTTTCCACAAATTGATCGGGGCACCTTTTTTTTTTCTAATTATTTTAGTCTTCTATAAAAAATGTTTTTAATTTTTAATTTTTAATTTCGTGGAATCAAACTTCAAATTTTAATGAATGACAAAATTAATAATTCGTCAAAATGAAATCGAGTTTAATATTATACAAAATTTAGCCAATAAACTAATTCAAAATCAAACTATAAAAATATTGGTGAAAATAACTCATCATAATATTAGATAGCTACATGAGTATTTAAACTTAGCAACAAATGCTACAACCAAAAGGATATATATCTAAAAGTATGATCTAAATATTGTTGAATTGGTAAAATATTAGTAATGGGTAAGTTGTCAAAATGAGCATAGCTCAAGTGGTTAAGACACTTATATCTGGCACCTATTTTTGACCAAGAGGTCATGAAAGGTGTTCACAGGTTATATTGGGTTGGGTCTGGTTAGGAGGGATTTTGGGACCAACCCGAATCATATATAGGAACTGTTGGGTTTGAATTGGATGGTCAACTCAACCAAACCCAACCCAACATTTTTCGGGTTTGGTTGGGTACTTTTGTTATTCGGTTGTGTTTTTTTTTTATAATTTTTAATTTTTAAGTAACGCGACAACGAAGAGTTAAGAATAAAACTACATAGACGAATGATATTAAGATATAAATGAAAAAAGATAATATGAAAATCTTAAATGAAGGTTTAGGATTAAAACTAAAAATGGACGGTTGACATTGAAGATAAACATATATATACACATAATTAATTAATTAAAAAATACACATATATGCATAAATTTGGATTGGATTGGATTGACCCAATTTTTTAAAAGTTGAACTCAGAATCCAATCCAACCCAACTCAAGACTTCATCTAACCCAACCCAACCCTTATGGTTTGGGTTGGATTCGTCAAGTTGTTAGATTTTTTGAAAACCCCTATTTTTTAGTACACAAATGTAGACATGAAGATTTAAATTTTCGAACCGGAGAGGATGAGTAGATGCATTTGAATTATATTCATGTTGTTAAAATTAGTTCAAATATTCATAATTATAGATTTTTATTAAAAGAAGACAATATATTTTAATTATATTATTCGTAAAAAACAATATTGTTTGAGTAGAGATCAGTCACATTTAGTTTAATCATAATAGACGAAATACACTACTTTTTCTACTTCTAGAAAGAATACAAAAACGAAATAAAAATTAATTTAAAATTAGTCCTTGCTCATAAAGAGTATAGTCATAAGGCTTTAGCCACTTTTCTTTGGTAGATTATAGGTTGAAATCTTCATTTATTTATTCGATTTACAATATTATTAAATAAAGCTTATTTCTCTGTGTTTGAACAATCATTTTAGTCTTGAATCACAAACCCATGATACTTCTTCAAAATATTTTGCAAACAAAACCCCATGTATGGATACATTCTTTGATTAGACAAAAAGGTAGTGAAAATGTTTTAAATATCTTAGAAAAATAAATAATTATTAGACATGAACATGTGGTGGATCATGGGTCATTTCCCCAATGAGGGTAGGTGTAGCTTTTTTTGCACACATTGCATTCACAAAAGCTAAGCCAAATATTGACCAATAAAAATGCATTTAATTATTTGGTTTAGTGAAGTGCTAGACTATGCAATTAAATAAATATATTTAGAGAGAGAGAGGCCTTGTAATAATATAGATATATAAAGGTATGCTTTATATCATTGTTAAAAATCTTTGGTTGAAACTTTTTATTTTTCCAATATCTAGATCCACAAGCAAAATTAAGCCTCTTTTTTTATAAGAGCTTTTAGCTTTTATTTTAGGGAAAAAATTTGTACCGTAAATGTTTATTTATGGTTCTTCTACTCATATTTAGAAATGCATATTTGGGAATTCACAGGAATAACTTGACTGGTCCAATATTTCTTTTATCATTAGATAAAAAATAATATTACATGCTTAATAATTGGTGGTATCTCATACTAATTATTACCGCTATTTAAAAATTGACAATTAAAAGAGAGAGTATAGATTATTTAAAAAAAAGCACATTGTTAAAATTTTTTATTTCATGAATACAACAATTAGAATTGGGGATTCGAACTCAATATTTCTTAATAGACATAGGTAGAATTACTGTTGAGTTAAACTTATACTGATAAATATTACCGGTAAATAAATTATGGTGTGGAAATATAGTTTTTTTGGATATTAATTTTTGGACGATGGATATTTGGTGCCACGTCATATCGGAGACCAGGAATGGAGGATGAACATGTCGTGATGTGTGCTTCATTGCATCACGTGGTGAAGTTGGTGACTTTAATGACTCCACGTAGGATGATGGTGATATATAATTATCGTAATACCTAAAATACCCTTCTTATATATAAAGGTATTTTTGGGTACTATCGAAATTTTGTTTTCATGTTCAGAAAAAAAAAGGAAAAATAGTTGGCGCTCTTGATGTTTTTGGACCGTGAATTCTATGCTATTAAATGTTTAAATATTTAATATTTCTTTATATGAAAATATACCATTATAAATGCTTGAAAGCTATGGGTTCGTTTGTCAAAAGTTTTTTTTTATTGTTTTTTATATAATTAGGAATAAATAATTCCAAAATTTTCATGGTGTGACTTGTAGATAAATTTAAATTAACTTTTTACAATTAGTCAATTCACAACAAATTAAAATTTAGATAGTTAATAAATAAACTTATAAATGAATTGCACGGTTTACAAATTTATTCTTATTAAACATTTTTTAATTATAAGTGGGGAAAATTGAATAGAAGGTTGATGGTGTGTCTAGGTGTTATGTCGTGCATTGGGTGGAAAGACTGGTAGGGCCCTATCTGGCTGGGACATCGGAATCAGGACCGTACACATGTCCCCGTCATCCAAAGTCTTCTCATCTTTCAAGATCCCTTCAATGTTGTCGGTGATTGAATGTCACCGAGACGAGGTTCATTAAATAAACTCAACTCACAAGACATAATTGCTTATGGTAATGATTTGATGGGGTGTGATGTACGAAATGTTTTGTAGGTCCGCGAGCTTCCACCTAAAGCGGAAGTGATCGGATGGTCAGAAAAGACGGGGATCGAGATGTTCAAATACGGGGACCACATGATGGGCATCCAAGGACATCCAGAGTATACCATGGACATTCTTCTCCATCTGATTGATCGTCTCGTTCAACGTAATTTCATCATGGTATGGACTAAAAATTAAATCTCTATAATATTTAAGGACTAAATGGTTATAAAATGGATTAGTTTTTTTTTTTAATTGTGTAATTAATTAAATTGGTTTATAGGAAACATATGCCAAGGAGTTGAAGGTTAAAGTGGAAGAAGGAGAGCCAAGCAGAGAGGCATGGAAAAGGCTCTGCATCAACTTTCTCAAGGGAGCCTCTCATGATAATAAGATTACATTTTAGATGGAGAGAGAGAGAGTATTTTGTATAGGAAAGATAATTAATGAAGAAATTAGGATTAAAAATTAAGCACTTTGATTAGGAAGTTGGGTGAATCACAATTTTTTTTTTTTAATTTGGTGCTAAGCATATTACTTGAATATCGAAAGACTTTTTGAAGACTAAATTCAAAGACTAAAATATCTTCGAAGAGCTAAAGTTTTTCAACAAGGAAAAAACTGAAGATTATTCAATAAGTAAGAGACTTAATTAACAAATTAAACTAGAACTGAGCAAAGATCTTCAACAAGCTACAAAGAAACATATAATTTAAAATTTTAAGGAATTATTTGGATTAAAATCCGAGAAAAGTAAACTTAGAAGAACCAGCTAATTAATTTTTAGAGTGTAAATAATAATGTCCTTGCCAAAACGAATGTAGTTCAACGGTAATTGGCAAGGTTTTTAGTTCGATCTCCCACTCTACGTGTACTAAAAAGAATAATGTCTTTAAAACTTTCCTAACCTATTTTAGATAGGTTAAGAGAGACATTTGATGAACTATATAAAATATGGACGAGGTTCTTCATTTAGTTGATTATAGAACGAAAACTTATTAGATACAAAATTAAAAGTTTAGAAAACTATCCGTCGAGGATGATTAAACTTGTAATTTAAATTAAAAATTATTTTATTTATTTTCATTCATTTTCCACTCAATCATTTAACTGAAAAAAAATATGAAATTGATAGGTTAAGCAAGTCTCCGGGAAATTGAGTCAAATGACCTTCAAAAGTTTGTGGAATGCTCAAATGAGCCTCTTCCTTTTATTGTGCCCTAATGACCCACTTGAATATTAAATTAATTTTTATAGGTAGCGAAATTACTATAGTACCCTTCGTTCAAAAAATTGAACCGTTCTAACTTTCCCCAATTTCTCTCCGTTTTCAGTCGTCGTTCGTCTTCTCCTTCTCCGTTCGTCTTCTCCTTTTCCGTTTGCGTGAGTCGTCTTCTCCTTCTCCGTTCGCGTGAGTCATCTTCTCCCGCTCCGTCTCCGTTCGAAATCGCTCGAGGTAAGTTCAATTTTTCCACTGTTCTGTCGGGTTAGGGCTACGTTTTTTCATGTTGAATGAGTTTTTTTCCATTGATTCTTGAACACCAACACTGTACCTTGTTGATCATGTACATGAATGAGTGATTTCGCTGTCCGATTTTACTTTATTTTGTTCGTTCCATTACTTGTGGGTTTTTCCTTCATTGTTGTTCTGTTGAAATTGATTTTTGAGCTGAAATTGAGTTTTGAGGTATGTGGGAGGGAACCGTTCTAAGTGTGTTGGGAGGTTGAAGAAGGAGGAGAGCTCTGTCATTTTTCTCGGGTCGATCTCGAGGTATTCGTCAGATGCTTGAGGCTGAACCTCGAGGTTCCTCGAGGTAAGCTCGAGGTTGGATTTCTTTCAAGTACCTTGGGTTGACCTCGGGCGAGGTTGAGCCCGAGGTATTTGAAAGAAATCCAACCTCGAGGAACCTCGAGGTTGAGACTATGCTGAATACATCGGGCATAACCTCGTCCGAGGTCAATCCGAGAAAAATGACAGAAGCTTACAAACGTTGAGCGACTTTACATATTTTTGTGTAGTCTATATTCTGTGAAATTTCTCGGGCCCGATCTTACCCGAGGTTGTGCCCGAGGAAAATTATAGACTGTAAACTTTATTAACAGTAATATATGTTTTGCCCGAATTATTTAGTGAGTTATTAAACAGTGTTCATTTCTGACCATATATGGTTTAGTTTAGTGTAAACTTGATGGTTTGAATCTGAGTGTAAATGTTTATGTGTATTTACTTATAGGTAATGGATTTGGTACCGAAGATCCCTCTCGCGCTGTATGTCTCGTCCCAGCTGACCTGTCTATCGCACCTAGCAAAGATATCCAAGGCTATTAAGAAGAAACTTACCCCTGG